GAATTGACGATCGTTTGATTGTACCAGATCGCTTTCCTTCTTATTTATAGCGACATTTTTATCCAAAAACACAACATCTTTCACGCTCCAGTGAAGATACCTTCGCATCAAAATTATAGATTCCTCCATTAGTTCAGCGATTATTACTAGCCTAAACTCGGATGCTAATTTTTCTAAGATCAATTGCACCTCGCTTGTATTAAATTTGTGAAATAAGTGCAACGGGAATCCGAATTCAAGAGCTTGCCGGTTGTTTGTCCACGAGGAAATAACAGACCCAGGTTCATACTTTTTGGGATCTCTGATGTAACTCGATGCCGGAAAATTACCCAGTATTCTATTAAAGATATAGCTAGGATGGAAATAGTTCAAGGTAGATTTGTATTGCTCGTATGGTTCACGCAGAATACCTATATACATCGTATCCTTTGGAAGAAAATAATCAAATGCCGACTTACTGTACATTACATGATTACAGAGTATGTCAAATGACTTGTCCTTAGGCGTTGGAAGGATGTTTGAATTGGTCAACGATTCTCTGAGGCTAATAATGTTAGGATAGCCAAATTTATTTTTAGCCGGTGACAAAACAAAGGTTAAATTTCTTGCCCATCCGAAACGAAGAAAGATATTCTGCGCTGTGGAACTGGCAGCTTTATGAACTTTGAGAAATGCAACATGGCGGACTTCATTGCCAAAGTCTAAACCTTTGGTAGACGCCAAAATTGATGATTCAACGGTTGACTCTTTAAGTACAACCATTTTGGATCGGACAATGTTTTTGACTGTTGTTTCATTTGGTGCGTGGCGCTTATCGTTCATAGTGGATTCCCTCTTGTCCCAATTCATGTTTCCTTGACAGGTCATGTCTATATTGTGCACGATGGTGAAGATCACGAAGAAGATGATGCAGAAAAGAAGGAACCTGGGAATGAAATGAATAGGGAGTTTACTTTTTATTTTTAGAATATTAAAGCATTTTTTTACCGTCATTTACCAGAATATTTATGAATTCCTATAAAGTTTATATTGTTACATTGATACTTTTTTTAATCCTTTCTGTTCAATGCCTGAATATCATGACAATATCCATTCGGCATACAATAAAAGGCATAAACTTAGTATCTGATGTGATATGATGATGATTTTTAACGTAGCTTTAACAATTTTAACAATTTTTCAGTCATATCGCTACGATATCTGCAGTGTGGCAGTTTACAGTTATGTCTAGCACCGGGGCATTATGCCTCAGACATGTAGCATGTTGTCCCACCCAGTCCCATTATCCTGACACCAGTCCGATCAGTTCTAACACTAACCTCTTAATGCTGAGCGTCAAGCGAGGCAGCGGTTAGTACCATTTTCGTAAGTCTTTGGTAGGACTCGACCGGTGATCGAACCCACGACCTCCCGCATCTGAGACGGACGTTTTAACCACTACACTACTTAGTATCTAAACATTTAAACCTATTGACAGGATACAAAGAATCAGTCATTACAAAATTATTTACTGTTACGAGGAACATGAATAGTTTTTGACATAGTGAAGGTTGAGTGGAGTAAGCTACATTACAATGTTACTTGGAATACTTATGTAAAATCAAACTAAATCAATGATTTAAAAAAATATCTTCAACGCCCAAAACAAGGAATTCCACTGATGCCTGAAACATAGGTTAGTTAAATATATGTTTCTGTATATCTAGCTTAGAGGTCGTACACATTTATTTTGCAGTTCTAATTGAAAGTCGTTTAAATGCAACGTTTTTTGACGATGTATGCGAAAGTGGCTAGCATAGGGAACTAGAGAACGTGAAAAGTATCTCATGATGACTTTCGTGAGCTGTGAAGTTCGTGCACCTCAGACCTGAAGGTGATATGAAATTATTATAAATAAAACATTGGAAGCAAGGATGGACACCTCGATATTGTAACTTATTGGAGAGACAATAATGTCACCATCAAGATATGTGTATATTTTTCAGCCACTATTTTTTCAGGCCAAATGAATAGAATCTCTTATATATTATAGCTGATAAATTTAGCGATTAACGAGTGTGAGTTAAAAAGTGAGATATAGTTTATGGTTAATCTTTAATACAACTAATTGTTCAAGTAGACGTTGTCTAGAGGACAATAATGGTATTAATTGTATAAATTTCCAAAAAATCTTTCAATTACGTTTTAAAAAGATGTCTAGAACACCTAATTTGTTACACATATATGGTGTTTGATTGCTTTTACAGTTCCATGCGCAGGTAATTACAGATGGATCAGATGTAATCAAGGATGACATAGAACTAATGGATGGAAATTTAGTGATGTTATTTGAACGAGAAAAAAAAGGCAGGAATTGAACTATCACGAAGCGTTAACATAGACTAATTCTCTTCTGATTATTGGTGATGGACTCAAAACTGCTTTGAAAGTCACTGTGTACAAATAAAAAAATATAAATCTTTGCTAAGTAATGGCTAGCTTTACCATGCAGTTCTTATCACATCTTATGCTTTACTGCATATGTAGTTTCCCTTTCTCAAAAAATGCTGCAGTTATTTTACTTACCATAGTGTCTTTCGCTTTACGTTTCGTGCCAACCAACGCATCTGCAAACATAAACAAAAACTGCAATGATTTAGGAGAAAAGAAGCATTTAATTAGACCACACCACCTCATCATGTACACGTTGCCAGAAAACACCACACCACATCATGATGTCTAAGTTACCATTCACCTATTGCATATCAAGACGCCACACCATATCATGATGTCTAAGTTACCATTCACCTATTGCAAATCAAAACACCATGCCACAAAACGTCACAATTTTCAGGAAAATGCATCAACAAAACATCATATGGAAGTTGTCGGAAACACCACAACACATCGTGATATCTAAGTTGATATTCACCTATTGCAAGTGAAAATACTACGCCACATCATCATGTCTAAGTTGCAGGATAACACCACACAACATCATGATATTTAAGGTGCTTGCTAACACCACACCACCATTGCTAAGTTGCCGGAAAATGTAAACCAAATCATCATGTCTAGTGTCCGAGTTGCCGGTAAGGACTAAGCCACAACATCAGTTCTATGTTGCCTGAATACATCAAATAAAGATTATGATATATCTAAACTGTCAGAAAACACAATACCACATCATTATGTATAAACTACAGGATAACACAACACCATATCATAACGTCTAAGTTTCCAGACAACACAATACACTATCATGTCAAAGTTGGTAGAAACAAAATACTACATCTTGACTAAGTTACCATTTACCAATTGCAACTTCAATTTAAATATAAAATTTATTTTTTAACATTCCTCAGAAGTGTAAAAACGTAATCACATACGCTACATGCATGTTTGAATAATACCGATGTTACGCCTCAGTCGCATCATAAACACAGTGGGCAGAAAATAGACGACATAAAAATTTAAAAGTCACAGGTGTTCACACTATCTGCATTAATACGGTAGTGTTCGGTGGGAATACATGAAAAATATAATGGAGTTGCATATTGTAAATTATTTCAAATATCTAGCACTTTTTTTTTAAAAAAGATACGCAGTATAGAAACTCCAAGATACGATCTACTATAATAAATGGGAATTCAACAGTTTTGAAAGTAACCTGAGTATAAGTCTCATTATTCTATGCAGACTGTTTTTGTGGGCGAATCAGCAAGCGTAACAATTAAGTCCAATTATTAGATTCATTTCTTGCTTGCGTGACTGAAGCTAGAAATGTTTGTGATGCAAAATACACAGATGTTTAAAATTATTGTGATACTATCATAGTAAAATTGTGCGTTAATTTAGATAAATAGAATATCTGCTTCGTTTATTCAAAATGAGGTAGAAATTTACATTTTGCAGTTCTATTTTTTATTTTTGATTTAACCTAAAACATGGAATAAGCCATGTACGAATTTCCTATTCAGTCATCTACGAACATCTTCATTAGTAAATGCACTTACCTCAATTGTATGTCCTTCTAACAAGGTAGCCAAATACAAAATCAAAAATGAATACATGAAACTGTAATTTCTTTTACAAGTCTAAAAGGATACTGTATTTGAGCCTGTACGCGTATAGTCAGATTTAATTATGATTATGTTCACTTAGCGTACCAGTCTCAATAACAGTATTTTAATCATGTAATTTGTTGTTGTTGTTGTTGTTGTTTTAGAGTTTAACGCCATCTTTTAGCACAAGATAGGCTATACATGTTGGCCAGTATTAATGGTGGAGGAAGAACCCTGGAAAACCCCGGGAAGAACCATCAATCCACGAGAAGCTACTGGCAAGCTTTCTCACTTACCCACGTTAGCCGAATCTAGACTCGAGCTCACTCAGACAGAGGTTAGATGGCAGTGATCCGTAACGGTCAGCGCTTTAGACCACTCGGCCACTCGGGGCCCCCATGTAATTTGTTAATTTATCTTAGGTTGGAATACTATTTCCGACAGTAATGAAGAGACAGGATGGCAGACCAAGCGATTAAAGCAACATCAAACAATATGGAAAATGTGAGTTAGTAAACAAAGAACCATTCTTCATCTGTAAAATATTGTTTTGCTATTCTTCTTATTTTTCATATAATATAATACGTTTTCCTCTTTTCTTTTACGTTCCGTGAATCAAGGCATGGGAACACAGCAATCTACAATTTTTAGCAACATCTAATCCAAAGAATGTAGAATGTGTAGAAATTGATTGTGTGTGTGTGTGTGTGTGTGTGTGTTAGATTTAGATTTTTAACGAAAATTTAACAATTTTCGAGTCATATAGCTACGATGTCTGCAGTGTGACAGTTTATAGTGATGTTTTTCACTGGGGCATCTTGCCGCAGACATGTGTGGCATGATGTCCCACCCTGTCACATTATCCTGACACCAGGCCGGTCAGTCCAATCATTAACTTCTTAATGCTGAGCGCCAAGCGAAGCTGCCGTCAGTACCATTTTTTAAAATGATTTGGTATGACTTTGGTTAGGGTTTGAACCTGCGACCTCCCACATCCGAGGCGGACGCTCTAACCACTTGGCCACCTGAGCGGTCAGAAAATTATTATTCTTATGAAGATACAGATTTCATGGGAATGTGTACACCTTCCCAGGGTGTGACTTTATAAATCGATAGACAAGTTTATTTGAAAAGAAGCGTGGTGAAATAACTGGAATAATTGACAAGTCGAAATATATCTTGCATGTACGTAATATACTATCGATGCGACTGGATTAAATTACACGTGTGAAGAAAACAAAACCTATCGTCATATGGTACGTCTCATAGTGAAGGGATATTTGGTTTAAATGTTTTTTATAGATTGCCATGGGAACATTGTTCTGTATCCATATGTCGCCAATATTCTTATTGTTAAGTACTTTTAGAATGTATATATATATATATATATATATATATATATATATATATATATATATATATATATATATATATATATATATATATATATATATATATATATATATATATATATATATATATATCTCACTTTTCCTAATCTTTATCTTGATTAGAAAGAACTCTTTAACGTCTGCTATCGAATCTCCTTATTTGATCGATCGAATATTGTAGCATGGGTAAAATTTCAATTATGATAGGACCTTAGATCACAGAAAACTTTCCCAGGTGGGTAAAGATTAATTAATCACAAAGCTTGAAAGAGAGTAAACTATGAAGTTTAGTTCTTATAGTTACACACAGATTGAGAAAATAAAAATAACCTCAAGTTATACATAACAAAACTCATATTTTTTTAACATTGTTTGCAAATATTGTCAAAGTACATAAATATAAAATTATTTCTTTTCCGGTGTTATGAACTAATAACTTCTAGTTCTTTTCGAGTCACAGGATGCTATACAGCCAATGTAAGTGTTCCTTATAAAGGCTCGATAAAAATACGAAATGATATAACTATTGTTTTTAATAATAATAATAATAATAATAATAATAATAATAATAATAATAATAATAATAATAATAATAATAATAATAATAATAATAATAATAATAATAATAATAATAATAATAATAATAATAATATTAATAATAATAATAAAAATAATAAAAATAAAAATAATAATAATAATAATAATAATAATAATAATAATAATAATAATAATAATATTAATAATAATAATAAAAATAATAATAATAATAAAATTAATAATAATAATAATAATAATAATAATAATAATAATAATAATAATAATAAAAACGAATTCTGCAAGTAAAATTGCATAGCTTTCAATCGAGTCGTTTCTTTTGTTGTTTTGGTATTATCTTTCTTGTTTTAAAGAAAATAAGTCAAATTAAGTAGATTTATGAAATTTCTCTAAATATTCTCAGATGTCGTTTACGCCAACATGGGTGTTTTCAAATTGAACAATATCATTATGTTTTAAAATGTATTTATAAGATCACCGATGCTCTAAATCCTTTTTAATTTATTATGCGTCTATATTCCTCTTGAAGGTTCAAACTTGCTTCATGGGGAGATAAGTAGTTTGGTAAAGGACCGTGAATGTTACTATGGATTACATGGAATAGAAGAAGAATATAGACCCACATTTCAGACTTTGCAGCATTAAAGGAACTCATTAATGTGTCACTCTTCCAGTTTCTTTGACATTAGTATTTTAGTTCCTAATACACCTGTGGATGTAACACATTTCTTTTTCTTGCAGAAAGATGATTCTTGAAACCACATCATTCACCTGGTGTGAGTCGGCTATTGAGGGACGCAAACATACATTACACATGAGATGGACATAGCTTGGTTTGCCCGGCGTCTTATGTATCATGCCGAAGTTTTCATTTTGTTAGACTGAATATTTATCTCGCATAATACCTCCATTACCTAAACTGTTTTTTTCCTAATCTGATTTAAATCGGATCTCCACAGTCCTACCTGGATATCTGATGAACACCAAAAAAAGGTCACGTTTTTTTTGAGAACTATGGTTCACCAATTAAATAATCACAACTTTAAAATTTCTGTATTGCGACATGCCATTTGGAAATTCTACTAACTATAACCCCCCTAGCATGAATGTGCAATGCTTCATCTGATAGGCTACTAAAAATAACAGTACAATTTCATCAATCAAATAGTTAAATCGCATAAACATTAGTCTTGTAATATAGGGGCAACAGTCCATACATATCGTATGTTAGACATAAAAATTTGTTTTCGTTAAATCTGGCTTGTGAAGAGTAGCTACAAGAAACAAAATTAAGACAATAAAACGAGAACTTCAAAACTAGATGCATATGGAAAAGCAGTGGTGGCCTTAGCGAAGTACGAAGTATGCAATCGCACCGGATCCGCATGCTGGCGGCCGAAAATGTTTAAAACGATATATTTAAAGCATATTATTTAAAAAAAATTGATTTTGAAAACAATCCTGTACTTTTTGTATTAATATATCACATAATTTTATCAGTTGTATAAAAATTTGATTTCTGGTTCTCATTGACCTCATATGCACCGGGCCCTCTCAGCCATGAAAGTGCTGAAGCTAAAATTTTATCAAAATGAGATTAAACGCAAATATTTCATTGAAGTTATATTACAAAGGTGCCCCGATTTCGTACATGGTACATACTTGTTTTAGAGATTAAATGGCTTATAGTTATCGTATGGATACAATTTTGATTCTATTGTAACATTTAAAATCTGGTTATCACGTGTGAGGACATTTGACCCATCAGTTAAAAAAAAGAATCATGACATTTATAGATTGTTTTGAACATGGGAGATTCACCATTTCCTGGTAGACGGTTATAAGTTTTGACATGCAACTAAACTTCATGGTAAGCCGTCTTGATTTCGATATTATTTCTCGTGCGTGCGTGAGAGAGAGAGAGAGAGAGAGAGAGAGAGAGAGAGAGAGAGAGAGAGAGAGAGAGAGAGAGAGAGAGAGAGAGAGAGAGAGAGAGAGAGAGAGAGAGAGAGAGAGAGAGAGAGAGAGAGAGAGATATTAACATAACTGATTAAAGTGACAAAGTTATAATTTAGTTCTTTCCTACTTTTATTAATATAAAACACGATAGGATTATTGTTTAAAAATTATGATGTTCTTGCTATTTGTCCATATGTTCGTTTACTATTAACGTTAAGATGCTTAATTCTTCTAGATAATAACAAAAACGATTATTTATATTCATTGTTGAAAACGAGAACCCAATTTGAGGGAAGGGGAAATTAATATATTAAGATGTGAAAGCGTGAACGATGCGACAGCGTAAGAACATTTTGCACCTTTCATTACAATATTTTCAAAGAAACGTTTCAGTAATATCAGTGTCTCTATCCTATGTGGCTCAGAGATGTTCACTTCATTTCATTGAAGCGCTTAATGAAGTTCGCCTGTATACATCGATGTGTCTAAACTCCCATAACCCGGAAGTTATCAAAGAATGAATAGATATTTCATATTGTCGCCAAATTACGAAAGGAACGAATGTTTATGAAAGCACAGATTTTAGTATCAGGTACTGCATGACATATCAACAAACAGGGCGAAAAACATAGTCAAAATGCATCGTAGAGTTTTCCTACCCCTTGAAAACTCTAGTGTTAATATATACTGTATTAACCGCCTGCTACCAGTTAGGGCCTGTAAAAACGCATCAAATTGTTATTTAACAAAGGAAAGCAAGATAAGACAGCCATTGCTTTCATCCAGTTAAACGAAAACGCAAGAAACTAAAAGAAAACACTGAATCAAATAATCTTACTTGAAACCATGCTTTATTAAGAAGGTAGACTTTGTTTCCTGAGTTGATACAGAAAGTACGATACTATAGAAGTCCTTCCAAGATTCTAATATCGACACTTTAGAGAATTCATTTTCGCATCATTCATCGTTCTGATTTAGACAAAATGTGTAATGCCTTATTTACTGAACAAAAAATTTTGTCTCGCATCATACTTTAAAAGTTACCATAAAATTTCCCCTATAATAAATTATTGTTTCTACCGATGCACTTCACTCTCCCCTGCTCGAATAAGTCTGAATGACGTCAATTCTTTATTGATCATGATGCGTATCGTAGCACAGGCTATTAACACAGATGTTTGAAATTAATCTGTGAAAGCTTTACCACTGCTCAGCTGAATCATGTAATATCTTTGTATATATGTTCCTTTATGTAGCATATTCATTCAGGGTATATAATCTGAGTTCATTTACCTTTAAAGATGTAAATATACGTATTATTTGGAATCCAGACTATTGCAAATGTAGCATACACATCCATACTGTACACAATGAGAGGATCGGCATTTTATAAAATAAAGGAAACTTCGACGAAGAAACACGAATTAATATATACTAGGAACAACTGACACATACACCAGCTGCGGTTGATCAGAGGTTTAGGCGAACAAGATGATCCGATTACACATAAAATAACGGTTACTGGTCAATAATTATTCCAATGTTTAAACGTGAATTAAGGTATATTGAATGTTTTAGGCTGATATGGGACACAAAATTACAGTGTACGATAATAAAAATATCAACAAAATGAATGGCCATGTATCTTCAATCTATAATAGCAGACACACGAATATATAGACAAATGCAGAAAACTGATTGTATTCATCATTTTCTGATTTCAGACTCTTTCGTTGCCAGATATTCCCTAACATTGTTATTTACCCTTGTTTAAAGCAAAGCGGTTGGCATTACTCTAAATAATCATAACAATTTCTCACTTTTCTTTGTCGGTCTATAGAACATTACATTTTCAGGAAAATATTGTCTGCGCTTGATATCTGCAATTTCTAGATTTTAGTAGTTTGAGCAAAAAAAAAAAAAAAAAAAAAAAACGGTGTCATTTTTACAAACACTTTTCAAAAGAGACATTTCTCTCCAAAAAGGAATTTTATAGAATCATTTTATTCAGAGTTTTTGAAGGCGGCTAACGTTAATACAAAAATGGACTCACCTATGCAAATACAATGCCTTGTTGGTAAAGAAACCCCTGGGGTTGAAGAAGAAAGTGCTAGAAAATTACATGTGGAC